TTTCTACTCTTCAGTTTTACAGTAGTTTATGGTAGCATGTAAGTAACAAAGAGAGGCACCTCTGTTAAAAAAGAGAGCTTTGTTTCCAATTGTTCCTTAGTAGTGGGGGAGAGGGAAATCTGAGCATGTTTACTATGCAGTCCTGCTACTTTCTTTCAGGAACCAAAATGTACCTTCTCTCTCCTCTGAGAGTAGATTGTATTGATTCTGCATCAGGATGTGTAGTTTCAATGCATTAGTGGCTGAGTTGTCTATTGTCTTTTCTCTTTTTGATTGTGGTTTTCTCCCCCACCCCATTTATTTTGCCCTTTCAAGCCACCTTCTCCCATACAAAAAGCAGTTATGCACCAACAGGACTTCCCTTTCGTTATGGAATGTTTGAAAGATCTTTAGTTCCTTAAGTTGCATTTTTAAAAAAATAATAATTGTTGTTTCTTTGTATGAATTTATATGATCTTGAACGGAAGAGAATTCAAAACATTACTGTTACATGTATACATTCCATTTGACATCAGCCAGCAATATACATACATCATGCAACTGCAAATTATTGTTCTTGGAGCAAAGTTCAGTGTGCATTTTCTTTTTAAAACAGTGGTTGTTGGGAGCATCAATATTGTCTGCCAAAACCATTGCATTTTTGTCATGTGGGAAATTTTCTCTTCAAAACATGTTGCAGCCAAGTGTTAAGTGTTTTGCAAGCACAACTTGAATTTAGAAACAGAATATAGCCCTTGTCTATCTCCTAGAGAGAATAAATCAAACCATGAAGCATTTTGTTGCTGTGTCAGGGGATCCAGGAACAGTGACCTTTGTATTTGGAGCTGTAGATGCTCAGAATTTCCATTGTCAGCATCTTTGACTGGAAAGCAGTAAAAGGCTTATGATATCCACATAGAATATAAATACCAGAAGACTAAACTTCTGTCCATACTTTGCCAATGGACCAGTAACACTCTGTTTTTTTGGGTTCTTTGCAGTTGCACATCTGGATTTGAGCCTTTGTTGACCAAAGGCTAGTTCTAGAACTTGGATGATTTCCTCTCCTTGTTGGTGAACTTAGTTGCTAATTTCGTGAATTAAGCCAGCACCTTCTTGCTCAGACCATGTCATAAGGATTGACATTTCTCTCCCTACTCTGACATTTCTATGCCACTGGCCGTGATGGATGCAGGGACTGGGATGTGTTATCTGTCTTCCTTCCATATATAGAAGGATGGAATGTATTGTGCCCTCTGTTCTTTAAAATTATAAGCAAATGCTGCCAGACAGTTATTGCCTGTTGTTAATAATCAGTTATAATATTGATTATTTTAAGGCATTTTTTGTTAATAACAAAAACCTCCAGAGGACATTCTATGCTTATGTAATGACCTCTCCACACCAACTTTTTGTAGCCTCTCACCACAGTCACTACCAAGCTGTCCTTTCAGTCCAGTTTTTGTTGCCCTGTGTTTTTTCCCCTTGTCTCTGCACCTGCTACAATATTTATTGTTTCATGCCAGTTGAGAACCACATTCCTTGATGATTAAGCAACTACATTTTTGCTTTTGTTGCTTTCTTCTTAATCTCTGGCATTTTTATCCACTTGGCCTCTAAGTTGATGATCTTTCTGAACATTTCATATATATATGAAGAATAGTTCTGGATCAGACTGAACATCCATCTTGTGAAACATCCTGTTTCCCACATTGTCCAAACGGATGCCTATGGGAAGCTGGGATGTTTAAGGTGTAAGTTAAGTATAAACAAAATCACTATCAAAATAGTTTTATGCTATTGAAATGCCCAATAAAATAAGAATAAAAATAAATATGAACATTTAATGTGATGAAACACACTGCGGACCACCTGAATGAAACTTACAGGGTGGTCTGTGGTTAAAGTTGAGAACCCCTGAAATAGGCTATTGTCACTAGAGCATTAGTGGATAATTTAGTTAAAATTGTGCATATTTTCCTTAATTATTTCATGCTTGTGAAACTAGGATAGATGAATATGTCAGTTTCAGAGTCTTTCAGTTTGTGTTTCATTTTTCCAATCTTAAGTTTGGTTATCCACTTTTTCACATCAGTTTTTGAATTTTGGGAGGGAAAGTTTTCATGAAAATTCATTAGCATTTTAGGGCAAAATATACCTAATATACTCAATTTTTTCTGTATTTTTGCAGAGTAAACACATTTTTGTGGAGCAGTTTGCCATGATATGCATTTTTGTGTTCTTTTCACCAATATATGCATTTCTATCCATGCTTTACCCTAGTATATGCATTTTTGCATACATTACTTGGTTGGAGACCAGCATTGCAAAATTTGAAGGATGGCTGCAGTTTGCCTTTAAATATGAACTGAATAGAATTTCTTCTCCCATCCCTGTGTGCAGCCACTGGAGACAGAGCATTACTCCATCGTGTTAGGAATATAGGAACCAGCCTAAGATCTCAATGCTGTATGCTCCCACTTGTGTCTTAACTTGTGATCAAGGGAAACGTTTGTGACTTTAACTGCAGTTATCTTTTGATTCTCCTTAACCAAGGTTTAAAACATTTTAGAAGGTTATTGTTTATTATTTTTTGTTTTTTTTTGTTTTTAAAAAGGCTTCACTCCCATTCAAAGGCAGCACCTGCACACTGCCACTGTCAAAATGTGTCAGGGCCAGGATTGAGTTGAATGGTAAGTTAGTGGGTGACAGAATTCCACTGGTGATGAGTTGTTCTTCATATGGGACGGCATATGTCTGCTTACTTGCATTGTCAGCAGCAGTATCCTACTGTTAATAGAACTTTGTCTTAAAAGGTTATTAGGTTTAACATGACTATTTGTATTTGAACAACATTTTCAAACTCCCTTCAGGCACCAAATGTAGTAAGTGCACTGCAGGAGTCATAACTATCTGTTTTGTTTTTCAGGGCTTTTAATAGTGGCATAAAGTTTGAATGTTCGGGAAAAACCTGTTTAACATTATAAATATGATTTGCAGTACTTTGCAGTTTGCATAAGTGACTCAGAAGGTAAAATATGGGTATTCTATGTTACTTTTATGATTTAATGCAACTTGAGGTATGTTTCAATTCAACGACTTAAAATATTCAGGAGTTCTGGTTGGTAGTCCATTCTGTCTTTGGACAGAGTTCATGGATGGTATAGTATCTGAGTTTCATACTTACAGGCAACTCTTCATGATACAGAATGTGTGAGGAAAGTTCTAGATTTGTGTACTCAGTCTGAAGTTCTTTAATAATGGCTCAGTTCACATGACTTGCTAAGCCAAACCTTGGCTTGACAACAGTACATGAATGTGTGGGTTCCTGGAGGTCCTCCTGGACGATTTTGTGGAGATAAGAATGTAGGTCACAGTCCCTTTGCTCCTTTCTGGTCGCTTTTACTTCTATAGTTTTCTTATCAGGTATTATCTTAGTTATCTTTAGTTTTATTATTTCTGTTCAACATTGCTAGAAAAGCTGTTGTTTTCAAGTTCTAAGGAATGGGGTAGGTGCAGCGGGATGGTGCATTTGTTTCATTTGCTTTGTTGCTGATGTGGGGACACACAAATTCTCATTTCTATTAAGCAACATGAGTACCATAATGAAACACTGATTACAGTTGTACAGCTCTTGTTTGCAGTTTGTCATTATTTTCGTCAGGGGGAAAAGAGAAAGGAATGTTTTGTTCCCCATTACTCCTCCATGTTTTTAAGGGTCTGTTACTTATTTCCTGTCAAGCTTGGGCAAGAGCAGTGATTATTTGCTATTCCAAGTGCTTTTTCTGGGAAGATGGGGTACTCATTCTTTTTCAGTTAGGCCAATTACAGTTTTCGTATCTTATTATTTAGATTTGTTGCACATAATGGAAAAATTTGTGTAGTAGTCTTTCAGAACTGAAGAGAAAATAGCATTGAGAGGTTTGTTATTTTCTAGAACAGTAAGTGAATCTTAACAAATGCTGAATATCAACAAGATTTATGGTTTTGTCAGGATGACAAACTATTCTGAGCGTGTTTGACTTGAAAAGTGCAACTTTTCTGTCACATCTCTTTTCCATCCCACTCCTGCAAAAGTAGCCGAGTGAACTACAGTTTGATTCCGAAAGTTTGACTTTGGTACCATCATTTGTGAAAAAGAAGTCTATACAACATTTTGTTGCAGTCTGAAGATCTATATACTTGGTCCCTACTCATGGTCCAAAAGCATGTGGCACACTAAACTTTGTGCTGACTGGGAGCCTGTTTGGAAGCCCCACGTACACCGCCATAGATTCTGTGAAAGAAAGGAAATACACACACACCACTCCATTATAAAGGAACCTAAGCAAACCAGGGATGAGAGCAACAAAACTGACTACACATATGTATTGAACAAGACCCTAGTAATTTCCATCAACAGCCACTTGTGCCTCATCTCATAATGTTTCCAAGGCTCCCTCATTCCAGAGATGAATTTTGGGTTGGTGGGGTTGTAGTAGGATGGGGATAGGAAAGCCCTAATCCATGAATAGAACTCATTATTATTTTGGCTACATCCCAGTATTTGATACTGATGACCTTGAAATGAGTAAGATTGGTACACTTAGCTTGGCATCTCTATCAGAAATGCACTGCTTTGGGTTAGACCAGTGGTTCTCAACCTTCCTAATGCCGTGACCCTTTAATACAGTTCCTCATGTTGTGGTGACGCCCAACCATAAAATTATTTTCGTTGCTACTTCATAACTGTAATTTTGCTACTGTTATGAATCGTAATGTAAATATCTGATATGCAGGATGTATTTTCATTGTTACAAATTGAACATAATTAAAGCATAGTGATTAATCACAAAAACAATATGTAATTATATATTGTGAAATATTTATTTATAATTAGAAATAAATTTTGTCTTGAAGCATGATGTAGCATGGGTACCAGTCTTAATATAGCAACAGTAAACTACATTGCTACATTTTGCGACAGTATGCGTAAAAAGCCAACATCAGTGTGAAGGTTGAGATTGCTTCTTTCTCACCAGATCAGAAATTCTCGGGGCAGTCTTTGCAAGAGCACAACGAAGATCGCCTTCCACAACAACTCTACTTCTTGATAACCAACAAGCTGGAAAACCATGTTTCACAAAGATATGTTGTTGGAAATGGAAGAAGGCTCAACACAGTCTCGGACAGAACAGGATATGACTGCAAACAATTGATCCAGAATTTTGTAACTGGCATTGTAGAGAAATTAGTTCTTGCTGCATCGTTAATAAGTTCAATGAACTCCTCTTGTGCTGCCTCAGGAACATCTTCAACTTTGACTGTGAATGGGCTTCTGGCTAGTGCAAATGGAGTGTCAGGTAGATTTGGAAAGTACGATGAAATTTCGTCTGCAAGCATGTGCAAGTCATCATGCCGGGTACTCGTATGTGGTCAGACCCACCTGGAGACAGATAAATGAGCGGTGTCTTGGTTCCTAAGACCATCAGAAATATGTGTTTTCCGATGGTCTTAGGCAGAGGCCAGCAACCTAAGGCCCATGGGCCACCCGGAACCGGCCCATGGCTGGTTCCGTGGATTGGCGAGGGAAATCCATGGATTTTTTTTCCACAGCGCAGGCACCGTTTCGCCCTGCTGACATCCCCCCCCTCCCTCACCGCGGCAGAACCTCCCCCTCCTCCCAGTGTAGCAAATCGCCAGCTAAGGTTTGAGGCCCTGGGCAATGGGTGAGCGGCTGCTGCGCGTGGCCAAGAGGAGGAAGGGGGCTGGGCTGAGCTGGCCGAGTGCATTTCCAGCAGTCCCTCATCGGAGCAAGCTGTTTGCCACTGCTGCTCATGCTGCTGCCACCTGTGCTGCCGCCACTCTGCTAAGCGCAGTTCCTGTGCCTGCCCTTGCGAGCAGCAGAGGCTGTCATCGGTGGAGGAGCCCACCCTCCAAAAAGCTTGCTGACCCCTGGTCTTAGGCGACCCCTGTGAAAGGGTCGTTTGACCCCCAGAGGGGTCATGACCCACAAGTTGAGAACCGCTGGGTTAGACGCCCTTTCCCCCCCCCTTTAAACCAACACTAGTAGTTGTACCTTACAGTTATTTCTAGAAAAAACATGTATCAGCTTCTCATAAAATCATATGTGAATTCTTAAATGGGCTTTTGCAGAGATATACATGATTATGCATTATAGTGGATCTTTTCCAGCCAAAGTAAGGCACTTTAAAATCCTAATGATTTCAGTTGGAGAACTAAGTGTTTCTTGTCGAAACCAATGGTACATAAAAGTGACTGACAGGATTGTCCCTATTTATTTTATATAGAAGTCACAACAACTTGTGAAGGTGTTATTTTAGCAGTCTGGGTTACTAACCTTTATTCCAAGGATCATTTAAGAGTTTCAAGTGGTATAGGATATATTCTGCCCGTCTGCCTTTTCCCTCATATTCATTGAGAGCCATCTGGAAGATAAATACATGCAGATGAGCAGCCCTTTACAGTTAAGAACTGGATTAACTTGTTAGCACCTTTTGTTAATTCTGTAATCTGATCATGTAAGAGAACAACAATACAAAACTATGTTTGTATATTGAGGCTGGGCAGTTGAATAGTTAGCTACCTGCATATTCAAGATTCCATATGGGAGGGGAGGGAAATTGTAAAATGATAAAATACTGTTTTATTTTCTCTACTAACTTTCCTTTGCAGTCAGGCTATGTCCAGATGATTCAATAGAGGGGATTTCCACCCTCAATTTATAGCTAGTTCAAAGCTACTTTGGTATTATTTTATTTCATCCAGGTTGGATGCCAGTTGGGGCTAATGGGAGTTGTAGTTCAAAACATATGGAGGGAATTAGGTTGGGGAAAAGTAGGATAGGTAACACTACTGGTTCTCTGTGAAAATAAATACACATGCCCTCGTTATTCAGTGTTTAGCTCTACAGCTGAAAGCTGAGATGAACTATATATGTGAATTATTTGTACATTCTTCCTTCGAAGGAGAGAGGATAGCACAGAAAGGTTGTGTGCACATTTGTTGCACATTATGTTGCAGGCATGCTGGAGGCACAGTAACCTTTTCTAATGTACACAGGCTGTAGAGAGGACCTGCCCCAGTGACTGTGAACTAGCTTTATATGCAAAGCTGACTGGTAAAATTGTTTCATTATATAGGGAGTAGGTATTTAAGAACCGTTGTTCAAATCCTGGCTGAATCTGACACTAGCAGATGCTCATCTTGATCCTATGCTTGTTAAAAAGATAAATTCCACTTGAAATGAAAGGAACTTTGTAATGTGTTTACATTATATCTGGTTGGCATCTGACAGTTTCAGGAGATAATGGAAGTGTGTGCCTTCAGGGGTAAATTCAAACCATTGGAGAGTTACAGTGCCTGCTGTGACTGTAAAGACATGATTTGTTGCAGCTGGAGCAGATGAAGGTGTCTGGTTGTGCTGATGCAGGTGTACCATAGTGTTTCTTCTTTCTGCACTCCTTCTAGTGGTCATTCCTTCTCTGGTCACTGTTGTGGATACTTGACCTGACTGATTGTCTCCAGATTTTGTGGTGGTCTTGCAAGGGATTTCTACATGGCAGGGTTAATGTTGTCAGCCTTCATGTCATGTTTGCAGATGCCATTATAATGCAGAGTTGGTCTGCCAACTGGCGTAGTACCTGCAGCGAGCTCCCTGTAGAGTATATCCTTGGTGATTCTGCCATCTTCCATTCTGTGGACATGACCAAGCCAGCGTAGACGTTGCTGGGACAGGAGGGCGAACATGCTGGGAATGTGGGTACATTATATCTGGATAATGTGTAGATTATAGTCTACCTAAGGAATTCATTTAAGAACAGCACTACTGGATCCGACCAAAGGTTCACTATTTATTCATATACCAACTTTCCTACCTAAGGAGATAAAACAATTAAAATATCTTAAACAATTCCAATAGAGATGCAGACTTAAGAGATCTTTCCTTAAAAGTCTTGTTGGAAAAGGAAGGTCTTCTGTAGGCACCAAAAAGACAATAGACAAAAGCTGTCTAATATCAAACAGAAGAGAACTTCAAAAGCATTCAATCTAGTCCCACATCTGTTTTCCACAGTGACCAGCCAGATGCTTCTGGGAAGCCCACTAGAGAGAGCCAGTGTGGTGTAGTGGTTAAGAGCGGTAGTCACGTAATCTGGGAAACCGGGTTCGCGTCTCCGCTCCTCCACATGCAGCTGCTGGGTGACCTTGGGCCAGTCACACTTCTTTGAAGTCTCTCAGCCCCACTCACCTCACAGAGTGTTTGTTGTGGGGGAGGAAGGGAAAGGAGATTGTTAGCCGCTTTGAGACTCCTGAAGGGGAGTGAAAGGCGGGATATCAAATCCAAACTCCTCCTCCTCTTCTTCTTCTTCTTCTTCTTCTTCTTCTTCTTCTTCTTCTTCTAAAAGCAATAGTTCTGCCTTGTTACTACCTCCCAGCAACTGACTCTAAATCTGGAGGTCCTGTTTAGGTATGACAAAATCCATTGGCTTTTGTTCTAACACTTTCTGCTGTTGCTTTCTTAATAAATGAAAGGTAAATAATACCTTGAGAAGGAAGTAGGACAACTCCTGAACATGTCCTATCCAATACTTAATTTACCAAACATATTTAAAAATATTTAGGGACTTATTTGCTATGAGAATCTTCATTTCTAGTCTAATATTTGTCTCCAGAGGAATGATAGTGGTTTATATTTTTCTTGGGATTTCTCCTGAGAATTTAGTGATAGGCAGCAATCCCAAACACCTAGGTGGTGGTTATGTTAGATTGAGCAGAGGCATCCATTCCGCCTGCCAAATGGGCTGGACACCAGCAGAACTCAGTGAAAGACCCCAAAACAAGGCCTTGTGGGGCAGGACTGAGCCAGCCCTTTTTCTTCCCTGCCTAGTAATAGTATTCAAACACCATGAGTATTCAAGCCATGCTGTCTTATTCTCATACTGCAACGACAGCTGCTGCTCTTTATAAAAAAGTTTTGGGGAGTATTGTGGTGGGGTGAGACTAATGTTTTATTCTTTTGTTTTGGCAGACACTGAATCATGCCGTTAGTCAAAAGGAACATTGAACCTCGACACCTCTGCAGAGGAGCTCTGCCTGAGGGAATTACTAGTGAATTAGAATGTGTAACCAATAGTACTCTTGCTGCTATCATACGCCAGCTAAGCAGCCTAAGTAAGTAACTGGATGGCTTTTAAAATGTGTTTTTTTCTTTTTAAGGGAAACTTGAAGAGTATACACAGTTTTGAAGCTGGCTTAAGTGGCATGATGGCTTTGGGTTTAGCAGTCTCAGCACCTTTGCATGTGAATAATCAAAATAAGTAAAATCAATGCCTTGCCACCTTGACTTCATATCCTGAATGGCCTTGGGTCCAGTGTTTCCCTCTTTCTTTTACCTTCCTTTGTGCCAGTGTGGTGTAGTGGTTAAGAGCGGTAGTCTCGTAATCTGATGAACTGGGTTCGAGTCTCCGCTCCTCCACCTGCAGCTGCTGGGTGACCTTGGGCTAGTCACACTTCTCTGAAGTCTCTCAGCCCCACTCACCTCACAGAGTGTTTGTTGTGGGGGAGGAAGCGAAAGGAGAATGTTGGCCACTTTGAAACTCCTTCAGGTAGTGATAAAGCGGGATATCAGATCCAAACTCTTCTAAGGCTAGGGTGTGTAGAGCAGTCTTTTATGGATTTTTGAAACTTTGGCCGTGTGGATCCACCCCCTGTTCCCAAATGCTTGTTTCCCTTTGGGTATCTAAAGATTTGGAACCAGCACTGGCTCAACCATTAGGCAAAGAGAAGCCTTTAATTCATCACAAATGCCATATGTAGTATATGGAATTATGTTTGTAATATTCATTTACTGAGGGTAGCAGCCGCCTGTTCCTCCTGGACCATTCCTCTCTGTGGGATATCACAGATCTGTAATATACCCCCTAAACTAGTCTGCTGCTTTCAGGTGCACTGCAAGGGGAGGACACTATCCTGTTGCCACTGCTGAAGTAAGATTCAATGGGGAAATGCTAACTTGTCCTTTACCACAGGCAGCAAAAGTTGTTGGGCTGGCCCTGCTTATACCTGCTCTGACAGTGTGTGGCATTCTTGTGTGTAGAATTGTGTCTGAAAAGAGCAGTTTTCAGTCACATTGGATAAATGTGGGAATTCTGTGCTTGTCAACTTGCATAAAGCAGCAGAAGCATAGTGAAAACACTCTGAAGAAACTTTGTACTGTTTCTGTGTGCAAATACATGTGCATAGTGTATGTCATGGTGATTAAAACACCTGGGGAGATGTTGTCTTCTTTCTCTATAGGCAAACATGCTGAAGACATATTTGGTGAGTTGTTTAATGAGGCCAACAACTTCTACATCAGGGCAAATTCCCTTCAAGACAGAATTGACCGCCTTGCTGTCAAAGTCACCCAGCTGGATTCAACTGTGGAAGAAGGTAGGTAATTGTATTTGAGCATTGAGCCAGAAGTGATATTGACAAGAGCACAGTAATTAATTGCACAGCAATCACTCCTTTTTTCTTTGGAGTCAGTACTGAGTGATATTTCATCTTGGTGTTTTTTTTTAAGGTAGCAGCTTTGGGAGGGGGGAATCTGTGGCGGTTTGCAGGGAAAAAAGGGGAGGAAGAGGAAAATATTTTAGAACCACTTCATATTTGCCACTAGAAGTCCATGCCCTTATCTCTCTTTGCAGGAGTCCTCCTTTTAATTGGATCCATTGCTTGGGTATATTTCATGTATTATTAATTTGCAGTAGATAGATGAACATGAGCAATGCCCATCTCAAACCTCTTATTCCAGAAGAGTAATAGATACATATCACCACTGTAGGATAAACTGTTGTCCAAGAAAACTGATCTTTTGGTATTTTATAACCAGATTGTTAGAACACTGGATGCAGTCTACACTGCTGTGTGCTGATACAGCCCATTGATTTTATTGGGCCTAGGTTACTTCTCAGGATTCAGTGGCTGCGTCATGGAGATAAAGTGTGTATCAGTATCAATTGCTAGAGTCTCCATGGTCAGAGTCAGCATGCCTCTGAATACCAGTTGCTGGAGACCACAGAAGGGGAGAGTACTCTCATGCTCAGGTCCTGCTTGTGGGTTTCATACAAGCATTTGGTTGGCTGCTGTGAGAACAGGATGCTGGACAAGATGGGCCATTGGCCTGATCCAGCAGACTCTTCTTAAGCTTGTCATGTAGAGCCACTGCCCCATAATTGCAATTTCAGGTACCTTTGGTAACCCCTTTCATAACTTATTTCTATGTGTTGGCTCTTTGTATGTTGGAGGGAATGGGATTCCACCACTGACAGTGCCTACAACTTCCACACAAAGAGCTCAAGGAGCGCTTACACATGGAGGTTGGAGCCAAGGCCAATAGGGCATGGTAGTGATTGATGAGTGTGGGGCCACCAGCATAATACTACTCCCTCCTCGCATAAAATGAATGTGCTGAGGATGGGATATGAAAGGGGTTAGAGTAGCAGCACTACTACCTATGTAACAGAGCACAAATTTATGACCATAATTGTAGCTAGTTTATGACTACATTATATTTTGAGAAGGACTGTAGCTCAGTGCTAGAGCATCAGCTTTGCATGCAGGTCTCAAGTTCAATCCTCAGCATGTTTAGGTAGGTCTGAAAGTGACACCTGACTAAATTCCCAGAGAACAGCTGCCAGTCAGTATAGAAAATACTAAGCTTGAGGACCAATGGTCCGACTTGGTATAAGGCAACTTCCTATGTTCCTGTTTGCATCACTGTCTTCAGTCTTAATGTAACATCTGAAGTTCTAATACTTCACTGAATACAGAATGACTGCTTATATCTTTACTTGCTTGTGTATACTTACAAAAGGAATGCCTAGTTGTGTTCATTGAGGATGCCATTCTAGGCAACTGAAGACACTTACAGGAGCAGAAGTTTTGTCATTTGTCTAGGATGGCAGTTACAGAAGCTACATATTTTCTTTGGATTGTTGGCAGAAGCTGCATAGAAATGAAATTTAGTAACCTCACTTTCACATTCTGCTTCTGAAAATTGATTCATAGTCGATATAACCCTTTAAAAAGCTTAAATAATAGATTGCATAATTTGTAAATCTAGTGTTGAATACATATTCTAATCAAATATGCAGAAGTATAATGCATTTATTTAAAGCTGCTTTCATTGATATATTTTGTAATTAAAAGCAGGTGTGTGTTGCATTTTAAGCCAGGTAGCATATTATGTTACAATATGGGTCCCCAAATGTGGTGTCCATGGGGTCCCTAATGTGACACCTTCCAGGGTTTCTGCCCCTCCCAAATTTGTAAAAGAATTGAGGGTTTTTTTTGGGAGAGGTTGCCTATTTTGTGGACAGTGTTGCATTGCTTTTTTGTCTCTTTTTTGGAGTGGCATACGTATGTTGCCTGCTTTATTTTCAGCTGGGTTAGGAGCTGTTCTGAACAAGACCAGTTTTTCTGTGAAAAGGGTATTTTGTGGCCCAAAACAGTTTTTATATTTCCAAATCTGCTCCAAAAGTTTGACGTCAGGTTGGTGTTATAACAACAACTTACAGTTGAGGTCAACGGTACTTATGTCCTATGGATACACAATTTGAATTGGTTTCTATGATAAATAAAATACATCTGTTTGCAACCAAATAATCCAAAACACTAGTTGTGCAGCTCAAATGCATTTTGCAGTATGTATTTATATCCGTTAGGGAAGCAACTGTGAAATTAAGGGTTTCTGCTTGGCTTTCTCCTCACTTGTATGGATGCTAGGCAAAGGTCACTTACCTGAAGACTAATTTTTCAGAACTTAGTTCGAAAACAAGAGCAGGTTGTCACTGGGCAGATCAGTTTTTCTTCATGATATGCAGTGCACATGTTTATGCTGTTTAACATAGTACATAATGTGCATACTAAGTTACTCTATATATAACTTGTTATGTCATACATAATCTTGTGGATTTGGGGCCCAAATATTTTTACTTACACAATCTTGTTGGGGAAATATTACCATGTCTGACTTGTTAAGAATCTTGCACCCACAAATTGTGTGAAGGTCATGTTTTGTATTCTATGTAGGAACAATAATTTAATCAGTTTTGCTCCTCACTTCTTCCTCTTATCAAATGTTCAATATTTTGATTTGCTTTACTCCTGGATATTGTGGTTAGCTTTTTCTCAATTTAGTTCTGTCTACTAATTTTGTTCTTTTTATCAACAGTGTCATTACAGGATATCAACATGAAAAAAGCATTCAAAAGTTCTACAGTACAAGACCAGCAAGTGGTTTCAAAGAACAGCATCCCCAATCCTGTAGCTGATATTTATAATCGGAGTGACAAACCACCTCCATTGAATATCCTTACTTCATATAGGTACAGTAACTACAAATGAATAAATAGGCCTGCACAAGTAATGATGTAATCAATACTAGATTCAAGCTACTGAATATTGCCCAGTTAGCTTTTCTTTGGAGTCTGATACAGACAACAGCCCTGAGGCATAGCTTAGTTGGTAGAGCATGAGATGCTTAATCTCAGGGTTCTGGGTTCAGCCCCACATTGGGCGATAGATTCCTGCATTGCAGAGGGTTGGACTAGATGATCCTTGTGGTCCCTTTCAACTCTTCTATGATTCTAAGGCTCCATATCAGTAACCCAAAGATAGTTCAGTTGACTTCTATAAGGCTGCCTAAGAAAGTCAGAAAGAGTCAATTTAGCCCACAGTATGCTGACAGGCAGCATGTCTTCAAGTTAAAGTATCTCTCTAGTACTTGAGAGGTGTGTTTTTAAAAAAAACATATTTTTATGTGCAAAGATGCTGAGCTAAGGCACCTCTCACAGTAAATATGCTAGAATCTCAAAATCTATCTACATGGGGGGTTTTTTTTTAGCTTGCTGATTTGAACACAATATACTTCTAAATTTTAAATAATTGTTTGAACATTGCTTCTTTTCATTTTCAACTTACCTCAAACACCCATTCATACTGGGTTTTCCCAACTGATACCTTGGCACAACCAGATGCAATTTGCACCAGGCCCTGAGTGAAGTGGCCAATAGGTGCTGCACTTATGGGTTTGGTTGCAGGAAAGCCAGCTTCTCATTAAAGTGTAGGTCTACTTCCTATGTTTTATCCTATGTAGGTTTACTTCCTAAACTGTTTTATCCAAACAAATGTAATAAGTATTGGGCCTATTCTTAAGTAAGCACCTCATTGTATCATTTGAGTCAGCAGAACCTGGCTGCTTATTCATGACAGTTCAGTTGGCAAAGTAGCTGGCTTGCTACTTGAAACAGACAGAACTGTTCCATTTCTTTGGGAGGTAGGTCTTCTGTCTGGAAATGTCATCCCATGCAGTACATTGGCACCACTGGAGCCTTTCCCACTAGGTTATCTGCAGAGTCATGAGTATGCTAGAATACTTGCTTGGGTCTCTAAGTATGCTTTAAACAATAATCCTCCTGTTTTCTCAATATCTGCTAATTTTGTTCACAGAGATGATAAAAAGGATGGGCTGAAGTTCTATACTGATCCCTCTTATTTCTTTGACCTATGGAAAGAAAAAATGTTACAAGATACAGAAGACAAACGAAAAGAGAAGAGACGCCAAAAGGTAAACAGGCACATTTTAAAATGTATGCACGTGGTTTACCAGCCATATTTTGGAATAAAAATGGTTCATTGTTTAAATGTTTTTCTTGACATACATATGACTGGAAAACTAGCAAGATTATTTCATACTTTTATATTTCAATCTTAAATGTGTGTCTTAATTTCTTCTCTTAAAGAATTCTAGCAAAAATAGCCCACTAGTTTCAGAAAACATATTTTTGAAAAATAGATTATATGATTATAAACTTATTTCATAAAGTTCTTTGAGCTTTTGATGGTTTTCATTAGATTGTTTCCACTCTAAAATGCAAATTGACTTTATTCTTCTTATTCTGAGAATATGTCCATCTGCTTTTTATGGGTGAGTCTGAATAAAGAATCACCTAAGGTATGTCATGGAAGAGTATATAATGGAGCAGTTTTAGGAATGATGTTCATTGCTGTCAGTGTGAGTACATACAAATTAAAACCCCTGAAGAATGTCACTAAGCAATAAATCATCTATTTTTAAATAGAAAATGTACTGGCATTTCTGTGTGGCTATGGTCATACTATAGGGACGCGGGTGGTGCTGTGGGTAAAAGCCTCAGCGCCTAGGGCTTGCCGATCGAAAGGTCGGCGGTTCGAATCCCCGTGGCGGGGTGCGCTCCCGCTGCTCGGTCCCAGCGCCTGCCAACCTAGCAGTTCGAAAGCACTCCCGGGTGCAAGTAGATAAATAGGGACCGCTTACTGGCGGGAAGGTAAACGGCGTTTCCGTGTGCGGCTCTGGCTCGCCAGATGCAGCTTGTCACGCTGGCCACGTGACCCGGAAGTGTCTTCGGACAGCGCTGGCCCCCGGCCTCTTGAGTGAGATGGGCGCACAACCCTAGAGTCTGTCAAGACTGGCCCGTACGGGCAGGGGTACCTTTACCTTTATGGTCATACTGGAACTCCCAGACCACCTGTCTGACCTAGGCAATGTACAAAAGTAAATAAGAACATCACTAAGAGAAGAAGGCTTTTTTGTTTACTACTCCTTCTGAAATAAAGCAAAGCAGCACATTCTGTGACCAGGAGACTTGGATGATTATTTGCTTGGTGAGGGAAAGCTTGCTGATTTGGTGAGGATATGTGAAGTGGGGATGGGAGGGCAATATAACATGTGTGCTAACAAGGTTGAGTTTTTCTGTATGTAAAATGCCCGTTTTTAGTTTGACTTTGCCTAAGAATGTTGAGGTTTTAATTCCAATGAAATGGTTACTGTAGCATACTTTATCCTTTCTCTGTGAACAGATGGTCTTAAATGGGCTTGCCTGTTGCTGTTATCACTAACCTCGGCTGTCTTCCCATCTGCATAAAATATGATGACTGTAATTTAAGAGTTTGCAACAGAATAAATGTTTGAGTTATAAGCAAAAGCACTGCAAAAAGCTCCCTCCAAAAAACCCCCAGGCAGAATGTATTGGTCACTGGTATCAAAGATTGCTAGGAGACCCAGGACAAATAAATCATCCTTCCTCAGTCTTCATCTAGCTTAGGTCATTGACAAGGTGACCAAGGCAGTTTTGGATTTGAAATCAGCCTAGAAAATAGGTATATCAGGAATAGATAGCCTTTGCTCTCCTAGGTGCCTACAACTATACAGGAAAAGAAAAGGTGAAGAGACATGCTTTATGCTTCTTAGTAACTGTGTGACTAAAGAATATGTTTTTATGATTTCATTGCAATTTTTCTTTCATAATTGAAAATCAATCAATTAACCATTCTCCCCAAATGCATTTACAGTCGCACCTTGGTAGTCGAACGGTATCCATTCTGGAAGTCCAGTTGACTTCCAAAACATTTGGAAACCAAAGCACGGCTTCTGATTGGCTGCAGGAAGCTCCTGCAGCCAATAGGAAGCCACAGAAGCCCCGTCAGACATTCGGCTTCCGAAAGAGCATTCGAAAACCAGAACACTCACTTCTGGGTTTCAATCATTCGGGAGCCGATTTGTTTGGGAGCCAAGGTGTTTTAAATCCAAGGTACGACTGTATTTTTATCAGTGATTTTAATATACTCTAATGAGACATTTGTGTTGTGATCCATTATCCTCCCACGTGCGTGAAACCTGATTTGGTATTTGTTTGGCAGGATGGTATAAGTACTGAGCTTTTTCCATTTACAAGGATGAATACCATGCAGCTCTCTGCTGTAAGGTAACTGCTTAAAAGAGGAAATCAGTTGATTTCAGAAAAGGTACATGTGGTGTTGAAGGGAAGCCAAGTTTATTCCAGTGCCAGAAAAAACACACCAACTCTTGTTTGTAGGTGTATCTTCACATACCCCTGGGCCCTGATGGGAAAATATTTCCATGCCACTTGCTGTGATGCACTGTGAACCTTTTTATTTGCTTGTCTGAACACTAAGATTACAGTAGCTCTTTAGAACTACAATTTAGCATGGTATTGTTTAAAGCAGGCTTTGCAAACCATACAATTTTACAATTGTGAAAAAACACTAATATGTAAACTTAATGTGTGTGTTTGCTATATATATTACTGCACAGCTGATACCTTGTCAGATGGATAACCTATGAGCTCTTTAGAATATGGCTTCACTATAATTTGCTTGCCTCACCTATATCTACTTATTTTCATTCTCTTAACAGCATTTAACGTGCTCTTTCCTTCCTTGTCTCTTCCTTTCGCATGCCTTGCTTTCTTGTTCTGTAACATTAGGAGCAAAAGCGTATAGATGGCACAACTCGTGAGGTGAAAAAGGTTAGAAAAGCAAGGAACAGGCGCCAGGAATGGAATATGATGGCATATGACAAAGAGCTTAGACCAGACAACAGGTTGTCTCAAAGTATATACCATGGAGCATCATCCGAGGGATCTCTGTCCCCTGATACTAGGTCTGTTTACAACAACCCTTTTTGTTGTATTATATCCTTAAATCCTTATATATATAAGGATAAGGATATATTATATCCTTATCCTTATATTTTTAATAAGCTTAACTGTAGAATTGCAATGAAACATTCAATTAATGTTACAACAGGCATTTTCAAAATTATTTGAAAGGCCAGTGTGACTTAAATCTGATACTTGTTACTATACAACCACATTACACGTATGTTTGTATTTCTGTTCTAAATTGCCATATTGTACTGCTATAGGCAACTTAGTACATGGATTTTTTTTCGATTTACTGATTTTACTGATTTTTAAGAAAAACATATTCTAAACTTTTGTGTAGTACTTAGAAAGCAATGGTTCTTCACATGCAAGGCAATATACCGGCTTCATATTAGTAGATTTTGCTAATTGAATAAAGTTCACTGTTCATACAGTTGATATTCAGAGAGGAGCTGCAGAACCAGAAGCAATATTTTTTTAATGGTTTAGAACAGAAACATATCCCTACATATTTACCACCGGTATTCTCTCTCTGTGTTGTACTTCTTTGTGCTAAGTGGGAGGTCTGTGTTCAAGCAAAGTGGAACATTCAAGTTGATTGGCCAAGCGGTCTCTAGAGACATTTTTGTTTTCATATTTGTTCTCCAAATTAATTTAATTGGAAGGAAGGAACAACCCACAGCAAATAATCCAGACTGCCTAACAACATTTCACAATTCCACTAACATCTATTATGGCTTGTTTATGTCATCTTGTAGTTATTTTTAAAGTCCAGGCTGTTAAAGCAAAAGAGGGTTGCAAGAAGAGCCCAGAAGCTGACTTCCATAGAAAGCCATGTTTTAAAGAGAATTACTTCTGTATAATATTTCTATGATGTTATTCAGGATGTTTTGTCTGCACTAGGAAAATATTCTTCTTTCATGCTACATAACTTCTTTCCTGAGCAAAACTGTTCTCCAACTTAATAAAGAGGAAAGCATTTCTGTGATTCCCAGTCACTTGTTGAAATTCTACTCCTCTTGAACCATGGGAATCATATTCTTGTCAACTCCGTTAACTGGATTAATTCACTTACTCCAGTCATTTTGTTTCCTTGACTGACATGTACTTTTTTTTTACTCCTTTTTTTGTAGCATGAAAAATTGCCTTGTGAATGAATTGTAATAGTATTGTAAACGCAAGTGTTACATTCAAAACAAGCCTACACAAATGTGCTTCTTGTTATAATTTTGATGCACTGCTTATATATGCATAAAAAATGATAAGCAAACATAGCAATTTTATGTAACTATTGGAATTTGAAATTCTGATGTTTCCGACTTAGCGAGTCCTATTTACAATGCATTTATGCTATGCCCATTGTGATTCAGAAAGAGAGACACAAGCTGAATCCAAGCCGGCACCAGCAAATTAATGTGAGGAAAGTAAGGACAAGGAGAGAAGAGTGGGAGAGAAGGAAAATGGGCATTGAGTTCATAAGTGATACAAAGAAACAGGAGCAGACAGGAAGCACAAAAGAGGCCAAGATGCCCAAAGGGTTTGTCTTTTTGTTTTACTCAAACCTCTGGTGCTTTGTTGCTTGCCTAGCTTCCTGTCTGAAAAAGATGATGAGCATCTATTTTACTGATACCTTTTTAAACCAAATTACTATATGACACAATTTGTCTTTACTAATGCAGCTTTTTGCAGCTCTGGCATGCAAATAAATTGTCTGTTGGCCCTAACTGATAAGCTCTGCAGAGTTAGTATCTTTATAAATTGTGTGTTCCACTAATAATTCTTTTTTCTCTGCCTCTTTAATCCAGTTGTAATTATTTGTGCAAAAAAAAAAAAGGTAACATAAAATATTAAGGTCTTGGAGTTGGGTTGTTTTTGATAAATCAAAATATTCTCTTGGTCTCAGCTTCTAGTTTTGCTTTCATCTTTTGCTTTTCTTGGTAATAGTACTTCTCTATCACTTCTCTCATAGAACTAATATCGCCTTGTATGTGAGAGAATGCATACCCTGCAAGTTTACGGTTTCTGTGTATTAGGAAAATTGATGAATTTGAAAATTCAGATTTTGTAAATATAAGCTGCACTTTGTGGCTGTAGAAAGTTCTTTGCAAAGACAGTGAAACTAATACATTTCCTCCTAATTTCTGTATTTTTTCCACTTGTATTTTAGATCTCATGCCTCAGATGTTACCAGCTATTCATATCCTGCTACTCCAAATCATTCCCTCCATCAGCAGCCAATGATGCCTTCATATGGAGCAGGAGATGGAGCTCAGTACATGCTTGCAAACCAGGGCCTTGAGCATGAATTTAGGCCACCTTCTACAACAGTGCGGCATGCTACCTTAAACAGACCTCAACAGCCACCTCCACCCCCACCCCAAGCCGTAGATGGATCCCTAGGGACTGTGTCATTGGTACCAGCTGATTATGGGTAAAAAAATCCTTTTGTTATTTATTTAAAATGTGTTTACCTTGCTTTTCAGCTGAAAGGCTCCCAAATCAGCTTACATGAGATCAGTTAACAAGACTGTCCCTGTCCTCAGGCTTACGATCAGCAACGACAGGGGTGGGGGGAGGGATGGGACACATAGACAAAAAGAGTGGAAATAAGAGGTCTTAACTATGGTTAATGTTCAGTGGGGGATATACTTGAGCTGTATTGTTGTATGACTAGGTTGCTACAGTACTTGAGGCTCACATGCTTAGAGAAAATACTCCAGCAAACTAGGTAAGGACCCTTTACTGCTTCCCAGTGCTATATTTAAACCAAGGTAAAAATGGATGTGGGAAAACTTGATGTTGATATTGAAACAGAGAGATGTGTGCTATGCGTGTTGTGTGTTTAGTAAGAGGCAACTGGAAAAGTTTGAGTTGCCAGAAAAAGTGAAGAAAATCAATGCAATGTAACCCAGTATTTATTATGCAATCATATTCATTACCAAATGAAGCATATGCTACAGGGTGCACACTGCAAATCTGCTAGCTCATATGCCAGTTAACAAATATTGTGTTCTATTTTATATATAGGATGCTTGCAGCTCAGATGGTGGATTATTACAATCCTTCAGGACCCCCGCCGCCTCCCCCTCCACCCATGATTCCTTCTGCACAGACCGCTTTTGTTAGTCCTCTCCAAATCCCTGTGCTACCTTCCCATCCTGGACTAGTGACTGGATCTATATATTCTGCTGCTCTTCATCCTCCTTCTACTGGGCTTGTTGTTACAGCTCCCCCTCCTCCAGGCCCGCCTCCTCCCCCTCCAGGCCCTCCTGCTGCAGGATCCTCTCTCTCATCCTCTCCGATGCATGCGCCTGCACTGGCTGAAGCAAAGCGGCATGAGCCCACACAATCACCCATCAGTGATGCTCGAAGTGATCTTCTGGCTGCTATTCGGATGGGTAAGGGTACATTAAGAATGGTCAGGCTTAAACAGACCAGTGTTTGGGTTTTCCATAACTTTGCATAAGCCGTGCTTTTAATTTATAAGTACAGTCATACCTCGGGTTGAAGCAGCTTCAGGATGAATATTTTCGGGTTGCGCTCTGCGGCAACCCGGAAGTAACGGAACGTGTTTTGCTGCATGCGCAGATGCTCAAAATGACGTCACGCACATGCGCGGAAGTGGCGAAATGCGACCCACAGATGCGCAGTCGCGTGTTACGTTCGCTTCAGGATGCGAATGGGGCTCCGGAACGGATCCCGTTTGCATCCAGAGGTACCAGTGTACAGTGTTGCATCTTGAAAGCTAAGTAATAGCATTCAAATTCTTGCTGTTGGGTCCAGTGCTTTCTATTCTCCTGATATACAGTAATCCGCCACAATGAAGTATTTAATTTTGTTCTTGGGCAAACAGATGGATACACACACTTACATGCATCTATACAATTTATGTGTGTGTTCATGTGTATATACATACCTATAGAGGAAAAAACTAGTTGGCTCCCTACCAGAGAAGAATGGCAGATTAAGTTGATAAACTATGTCAAATTGGCAAAAGTGACTGGAAGAATCAGAAACCAGGAAGACCAAAATTTCAATAAGGAATGGGGAAATACATAATTTACCTTAAAAACTGTTGTAAACAACTAAAATCATTAGTAGGATTGGAATAACACTTGTAATTCAATGTTGAACTTTGGATAAAATAGAGATGGAAAAGATTTGGATTAATGAAAAAGATGCAGGAGGAAAAGGTTAATAAAAGGACTCACAAAGGGGAGGAGGGAAATTCAGGAGATTCTTTGGAATTCTCTTTTTATGTTGGTGGTTGGATAATTGATTGTAAAATTTTAAAACCTGAAAACTAAATAAAAAAACAGCAGATCAAAGTAAATTAATAGCCTCTGGGAACATGAGAGGTATTTGAATTGCCTCCTTTTCTTTTGGGGAAGAATGACTGTTTTACATGATAGATGAAGTTGTCATTTCTATTGAAAAGTACAGAGCCTGTGGAAAAGCCAAAACAATCACCAAGAGCAAATGAACTCTTGGAATTCCTTATTTCTGTGAATTCTCATTGTGTTTTAAACCCTATTTTCGTTAATTTTTAAGTCCTGTGTACTGTACTTGTAAGCTTACTCTTGCTTTAAAAAGAAAAGAAAAAACTTTACCCATGAAAATAACAGTGTGATAATTTGTCTCATTGCTTTCTTCAGGAATCCAGTTGAAAAAAGTACAAGAGCAGCGTGAACAAGAAGCTAAGCGTGAACCTGTTGGAAATGATGTGGCCACAATTCTTTCCAGACGCATTGCTGTGGAGTACAGCGATTCAGAAGATGATTCGGAATGTGATGAAAATGACTGGTCAGACTGAAAACTGGAGAACCAAAGCATTCTATTAATTTCTTAAGGAAATTGTTCATGTTGTGTAGGCACTGATATATGTTGAAACAGGTTAATTAAATTGATGGTATGCAGGATGCTGTCAGTAAGTTTGGTGATAATATAGAACTCTTTTATTTTCAGTATTTACTGCATAATACTGTATACAAGTGCCACTGAATGTAGCAAATCATGTTCTGCCCCAAGAGAAGGCAGTGTTTGTTCTTGGCCAGGAGTACATGTAAGTTATTTAGATTGTTTGAATATTAACACCAATTTCCCCAGGTACTTGGAAATCTTTCAAAGCAGGTGCTTGATCTTGGAGCACAACATGGCAGAACAATGTCCTCCACCATAAAATGTCACTAATTTGCATTTTTGGTCTAGCTTCATGGAGAATACGTATAAAACTGGTAGCAGTTAAATGTTTCTTGTTTATTTTTAAATCTTACTCTGTCCGTCCCATATATTGTGAGTTTATTTTTAGCATCATAGCTACACTTTAAAATAATCAGGTGCTGGAGCCATACTGACATTGTTAGTGAATAATTGGGTGGCATTAGGTTAAGTGCTGAATTCCCTCCCCTTATTTATCTGTTTGTTTGTTTGTTTAGTTTTCATAATCAGCTTTAGAAAATAATATAGTTGTAACAGGCATATTCAAGCATATGGTTAAATGGATCCTAAAATGGAAATCATACTTCTCTTAGGAGTTGTTGAGCTCAAAAGGTAAGGTTTGTTGAGAACCATGTTCAAGCTGTGTCTGGCTCATGGGTGACTGGACAAATTCTTTATAGTTACAGCACCTAAATAAATTTCACCTCAAGTTGATAAAAATAATTTTGTTACCTCTCATATGGTTTACAGTGCTGCATTTATTACATGTGGATAGACATGTAATGCCTTTGTCAGCTTAAGAGTGCAGTTGTGTCATATTTATTTTTGTATGCCCCTTTTTTAAAAAGTGGCAGTTATAATCTACATTTTCAATCTTATATAATATTTCATTTTTAAAGGCTGTTTTCATGTTTTCTTTCAGTTCTTAGTTATTCACAATTCAGTACTGTATTGAAACTAATTTCCTTTCTTGGCTATGATTCAGGATCTTGTTATGCTTGATTATGTTTCACAGAATTGAAGGTTAGAAGCAGTCAGTGCTGGCTTTGGCTTTTGTTTGTGGGTATTTTTGGGGGGTGGGGGTGGGGTGAGACCAGGCAAGTTGCCCTGAATGGTCCATGTATTTAAAGGTGCCTGCAGTTGCCTAGAGGGGAAAAGCAAGGTGAACAGAGGTTGCTCCTCTTCCTCTTTGCTCCTGTCACTATATGCTTGCTTAGGAGGAGACAGATGACTAGGTAGCAATAGCAAAGTGTAGGAGTAGTGGAGGTCTGGGGTTGTCAGCCCTCTGTTGGAGTGTGGGCTTCAGCAGTGCTAGTCCCTGATTCCAGCCCTAGAAACAATCCATTGAAAGCTGTTGCTGCACAATTAGATTTGTGTTAAGCTTGGTGGGTGGGGGTTGATAGATCACTTCTAAATAAGTGAGAAAAATGGAGTAATTCACATCCAATAAGCTTAAGTAGTTTTGCTTTGGGACATGAAGCAGTTTCCTTCATCCACAATCTCTTTGAATTCCGGTTTCTTCCATTCCTTAGCCCTATCAAATGAAAGAGAAGACAAATAGTCTCAGAGATGAAGAGAACTGCTGTGTGATGGCTGTTGTTAAATAGGACTCTGGAATAGAGAGTTGTCACCACCAGTCCAAGAAAATGTAATCTTGGCCCAAGCAAGCTTATTTATTCTCTTCTTTCCCCACCTATTCTACCTTGACTTAAAAAACAGTCTTACAAATTGTAATAACATTCTAAAGTAGCTGTTGCTAAACTTTTATATATGATATAAAATCTCTTTTCTGTACAGCAACCACTCAGTAGGAACACAGAATATAAGTTGTTTTTTCCCCCCCTTCAAAATAAGAACTATGGTAATATTTCACTATAGCACTCCTCCAGATCCACCAGGGCAAGCATTTTGCCTTGCCAAGTGGAGTGATCCCCCCTTTCCCTCCCTTTGTGCTGTTCCAGGGGTTCTCCTGACCCAAGTCAATTTCAGGGGCATGTGGAGAGAGGAAGGGGGAGAACCCCATTGTAAAAGTGGAAGTCCCACCCTATAAAAAGGTATCTGTATTTAGTGTCCCTATTGAGAGCACAGCATTCATTGTTAACAATCATGGACCTTATATCAGTACCAATACTGTTTCCTGAAATTTGTAAAGAGTACAGTGGAACCTCGGGTTACAGACGCTTCAGGTTACAGACGCTTTGGGTTACAGACTCCGCTAACCTAGAAATAGTACCTCAGGTTAAGAACTTTGCTTCAGGATGAGAACAGAAATCATGTGGCGTCAGCGGGAGGCCCCATTAGCTAAAGTGGTGCCTCAGGTTAAGAACAGCTTCAGGTTAAGAATGGACCTCCAGAACGAATTAAGTTCTTAACCCGAGGTACCACTGTAAAGTGACCCTGAGCAGGTACAGAGTGCCTTTCCTTTAGTACTAAATAAATATAGAGAATCACCACAATCGGGTCTTTGTGGGTTTCGAGAGAGACTTGAGCACTAGCATGATTCATGAAGGGCCAGGGATCCTTAAGCTGATCTGACTCTCTTCAAAACATTCAGTCTGGCATTGAACTTATACCTACAAGAAATATTAAACTACATGGTTTTTAAAAGAAGAGAACATGTTTTCAGTTAAAATGCACAGAACCTACTCTTTGTGCATTGGTTTTTCATTTCCTTTACTTGTGAATATCACAATAAAAGTATAGTCGTACCTTGTTTTGCAACCGGGATCAGTTCCGGAGCCCTGGCTGCTAGCTGAAAAGGACGCAGGGCAAAGCGCCGCATCTGCGCATGCGCAATTTAGCTCTTCTGCACATGCGCGAGTGGCAAACCTGGAAGTAACCTGTTCTGGTACTTCCGGGTTTGCCGTGGATGTTCTCCGGAACCGATGCTAGACAAGGCGGACATTCACGGAGGTATTAACTGTATTTTGCATTTAATACACATGCAAATGTGTACATTGTCTGCAGAGGGATAAAATAATTGGGAAACATGAAAAATGGAGATTGATGGACTGAAGTCACACATGACTTCCCATCTCACACATTGAGGGAGGGCCATTCACTCACCATATAGCAATCCATGCAAATTGGACAAAATATACAAGTAGTATAGGAGGGTGTTTAAAAAGGTAGTTCTGGATTATTAGATAAGTAAGCAAGCCACATGGAGGAGGGAAAGTTGCTTAGGATGTATGGCTTATGGCTTAACTATGAGCGCTGCAACCCCAGAGTCATTCGCAACTGGACTTAACTGTCAGGGGTCCTTTACTTTTACCTTTATTCTGGAAGAAATTCCTTCCTAATGCAAAAATATATTTTTCAACCTTAATTCTGAAGTATAAGGAAATCCTCCTGAACCAGTTTTACAGCAAAAGACAGAAAGTTAAATCCTGAAATCAAATTGTGGTAAAACTAATCTCTGATATGAGAAGATATTATGTGTGCATATATTGAAATATATAATAAATAATGGCTGGGACAAATTCACTGATACTGTAGAATGTCAGGGTGCTGGTTTTGTGCTGGTTTTGGAGCAGCGAGTCCTGCAATTAAGTCTATTTGTCCGTGAAGCTCATTGGGGGATCTTGAAAATCAATTCTACGTGTCAAGTTGCAAGACTTTTAACGAAACACTCAAGGAAAACCTAAAATACTTTAAAATATAGTTTCTTGATCTAGAAAATTAAAATATACCCCAGAATTATGCATTTGAGGCAGACCCATGGCATACACTTAAGCATATCTAATGCACAATTTAACTACATGGCTTCCACCAAAGTTATCTTGGGAACTGTAGTTTGTTAAGGGTGTTGGGAATTGTAGCTATGTGAGGGGAAATTTTGGGTTCTTTGAGAAAGGTGTGTGCTTTAAGTGTATGGTGTGGATCTGCCTGTAGTTACAAATTTCTTTTGGGCAAACCAAAACATTAAAATGAGTTATTTGTGTTGGTGATTTTATAATACATCCACAGGCCAGTACAATACCATGCCACTCCTTGCCACACTGTTATTTGCAATGCAAAAAGGCACAACAAATGTTCAGTAAAAGACCTCTTTGTATTTCATGCACTCATGAGATGGAGGTTCTTTTCTGTTGAAGCTTATGCCATCATAAAAGTTTTGATAAGGTGCCACAGGACTCTTGGGCTCTGTGTGCTTGCTGCAACAGACTAACAAGCTACTGCTCTAGAACAACTCTCTTAAAAAGCTGATTACACTGGTGTTTAGTTGCCAAGCAGGCACTCAGCTATGGGTAGGAGATGATGACAAAGAGCATGCAAAAGTAACTTTTTTCATCTTAACTGCAGTGCTCAGACGAGTGAAAAGGCACCTTAACCCTGCGGCACCTTATGCTGATCTGTACATAGCTCATTTTTCTTTCTCCTCTTCTTTCAGAGGCACTTCTAAAGAGCTCATGAGCACTAAGCCGCCTTTGCAATGTCAGTACCTTTGGATTTAGAGTCCAGTGACTGTGCCTCCAGTCCAAAAAACTGCACAGTCTCTTTGGCTAGCCCTCCTTCTCTTACCACTAAATGGGGGCATTGTTTGTTGCACGTCATGCAAGCCTTGAAGTTACAATAACTGCTCTTGGCTCCAAAGTTCACAAAGCCGAGATCTACTGGTATCTACCTTTCCCCCCAACAAGTTGTTCTTATGTTTGAAACAAGCATTTCTGAAACAATATGACCAAATAAAAGTCTACCACCTTGTGCATTTTGTACCTTTAATAGTAAGGGACAGCATAATGGCAAACACTTCTTTTCCTTAATAGATCCCCATTAAGAGTCTGAAGATATATTGAGTAGCACCTAACAAAGCACAATCTCCACCTCCTTTATGAAGACCCCAAGGTCACTCAACACCTTCTAGACTTTGCCTTAAAATGTGAGGAAAGCTGCATTTGACTTTGCATGTGGAATTGAGACATCATGGACTATGCAGAAAAGGATCTGAACCTTCATTACTGTTGAGGGTGGTCCCACATCTGCATAGTAATGAATTCTGCTATATTCTCTGAATGCTGTAGAACTAACCTCTAGGAAACCAAAGGGGACCATCTGATCTGTGTTCCTAGTCAGCGTACAGTACTGAGAACAACTTGGCCTTGCTAATGGTTGCTTCTGCTTCTGGGGATATTAGTGAAGTTGTCACATGATGCATTTATTGAATGATGGTGTCGTTCTTCATCATTCATGATGTGAGAATATGGTTCTATATGTTCATTTGGTTGAACAAATATAGAGTTGCAAGGCAAGTCATACTGCATGTTTTCTCTACACCCCACCCTGAATAAATGTCAGGATGTTTAAATGGCTTTCTGGAAATGTTTTTTGTTTGTTTTTTAATGTTGGAAGTAAAACATCAGTTTCTTCCATTGTAAGAAATGAATATATTTTAGAAGCACAGAAACTGAATCACAGAATATTTGTATTTTAAATTTATTCTAAGCTACTAAATAAGTTGTAGTCACGAAGATTTCATAGTTAGATGACCACCTTTTTTCTTCTAAACTTGAAGTATTTTCTCATCTGCTTTCAGTATTTTATCAATAAAAATGTAAATTAAGATTACTAAGCTAAATTTATACTTTAGGTAATTTTGTTTGTTTATTTTATCCTGGGTTATGTAAAAGTAATAGTTATGAATAAAGGTCACATTTCAACTTTTGTCTTCCCATTCTAAAAGTTTTTCTTCAATTTCAAAAGATTCTAGTTAACAGGAGCACTATTATGTAGTACTGAACTATTATGTAATTATTAAGATATTGTTAATACTGGCCGGTTTCACTGTTTATTCTTCATTTCTCTAGACATTCTCGTGTAGACAACACTTCATAATTACTATGTCTGCCTGACTTTGCAGTTCAAATTTGTAACCGAAACAGCATGATACAGTCATAATTAACGCCTTATTTCAGTGGGCAATAGTTTAGCCACATTGCCTAATTATTCTTCTGAAATAAGTGTGGCATGCAGGCGCTTAGCTTCAGCTGAATTCTGCCCATTCCTTGTGCAGTCTCATTACAAATGTCAGAAGAAGGAAAACATTCAGTATGTTGGGGATACTGTCAATGGTCCAAACACAGGAAGTTAATAGTAAATTAATTATTCTGTGATACATTGCTTGAACAGGGATGCGGGTGGCACTGTGGGTTAAACCACAGAGCCTAGGACTTGCCGATCAGAAGTCGGCGGTTCGAATCCCCGTGACGGGGTGAGCTTCCATTGCTCGGTCCCTGCTCCTGCCAACCTAGCAGTTCGAAACCACGTCAAAAATGCAGGTAGATAAATAGGTATCACTCCAGCGGGAAGGTAAACGGCGTTTCCGTGCACTGCTCTGATTCGCCAGAAGCGGCTTATTCATGCTGGCCACATGACCCGGAAGCTGTACACCGGCTCCCTCGGCCAATAAAGCGAGATGAGCGCTGCAACCCCAGAGTCGGCCACGACTGGACCTAATGGTCAGGGGTCCCTTTACCTTTACCTTTACGTTGCTTGAACAACTTGGCCACTCCAGTCTATAGAAAAGAATTCCACAACACCCATCAGTGTACACTGTACACCAAACATTTTCCTTTTCCTTGGGTAGCCCTTGGTTGTGCAGATCACTCATTGATAAGAGTGCTTTAAACGTGGCACTAAAAACTCGTTTTACAATGGCGTCTACCTAGGGATTACAGTGTTTAAACTTTAAATAGGCTCTGTTGTGTGCAGAAGGCATTAGGAATTCCTGTGGAAAGATATTGACCTCTGGTGGTCACTTGTGGTAACTGAGACTTTGAAAATTATTAAAGTGCTTTCCTTCCTATATCTTGCACCTCCTCCCACAACAAGGAAAT